GCCTTGTTCTCAACATCACTTAGATCACACACAAAGATAAATTTGGTTTATAGTAGTTCAAGTGAATGTTGCAAAATCAGTTCAGGTTTTGATCAACTAAGTTGAATTTTACTTTTCAGATGGGACTAAACAGCCAGGTCCTTTCAAAGCAAATTAGTGGTGGAAGGGAAGAACAGTGGCAAGAGTGACACTGCAGTCCTGTGGGGTGCTGAGCACCCTGAGCTCGTGGTCATGTCACTGGAGGAACACATCCTATTCAATGCAGCCTGAGATGCTTGTCCTTGCTTATGTCTTGCCCAGCAGTACCTAACACTGTTATTTTGTGAAGTCCCTGTTCACTGAATTTTGAAATTGTCCCCTGAGATTGATAGTCTCCAGAGCCCTTCCCTGAAGTGCTTTAGTTAGGTTACCTATTTCCCCCAGAAAAGATTGCAACTTCCACTGTGATGTGAAGAGGAAACTAAGTACAGCTGCAGCAAAAGGAACAGCTGAGGCAAAGTGAAATGGTCTCTTCACAATGTCCCTTGGTAACACCTAGACACAGCCCAAAAATCACTTAAGAGCCAAAAGTTATTCAGGGGGCTTCTAATAACAAATGAATCAAGCACTTTGGAGGGGTGAGGGGGGCAAAACCCCAAAAAACCAAACAACAACCAATAAACAAAACCCCTACAATGATTACATCACTACAAAGGATGTGATCAAAGTAAAATACCAGTCTCATGCTTCTGAGGTAGACAGAAATCCTACTGAATCGATGAATATTTGTTTTCATCAGGGCAGCACAATTGTGTTTGGTCAAAAAACCCCAAACCAAATCAAAACAAAAAACTGGGTTCTCTTCCAGAGAGTAATGAGACAGTCTAGCCCTCTTAGATATTGCCTTCCCTGTTCTCTAAAACATTGATTCTGTCCATTAACTGGAATACTGTAATGCTGCTGATTGATCTGAAACATTTTGTGGGGAAGAGAAAAAAAGAAAATTTGTTTATGAGAAAGTTCCAGTTCAGATATATGGTTTATTTCCTCCTGTGGTCCTGGTGGTTTACTTTGTTAAATAAACTGGCTTGACTGGGGCTAATGGGAGGTCAAGTGAAACTCTGCCACTCTACATCACCCCTGATTCACAGCCTCCTGTGACTTGGTGAAGCCGTTACTTAAAGGCACTGACTGCTACCCAGAGTGAATAAATCCAGTGACATTTAGGAGCTTTGCTGGAGAAAGGTGCCTTTCATATGAGCAAAGGTGATCGTAGCTTTTCCACCTCTGCAGAAAAATGGGTGCATCTTGGATTTTTCCTCCACTTTAGTGCCATAAATTTGGAAGGACAGCCTGTGGCCATGCTCCTAAACTTGGTAGGGCTGGCTTATCTCAATTACTTAGCAGGCCTCTTCCCTTGCCTGTTTGCTACTGGTGTAGGTTCACCACTGCAACTACTCAAAGTACTTGGCAGTGCAATGGTGTCCATGCAGCGAACACTGAAGAAATTCTGTATTTCACAAACTGTTATAAGCACCTTAAAGATCTTGGTGTCTAATACTGTGTTCTGCTCTATTCTGTAACAGTCTACTACTCTAATTCATCTATTTTCCAGTAGAGATAAAACATGATTAAAATAGCTGCAGTTCCTCTTTCCATCTTCCCCTGTGCTTACTGGTCTGCAGTCTTCTTACAGTGCAGGCTTAACACCTGACATTTTCTCTTTATTCCTCTTTTTGCTTCCCTGTCTCATACAGGTAAACTGTATTTCTGAGGAAAGGCAGCAAAATGTGAAAACAAAAGAGCTTTATATTGTACAATCCCCATTATTCTTGATCTCAGTCCAACACTGAACTCTCTCGTGTCATTTGACTTAAAGAAGTGTCCATTGATTGAGAGTATGCTGTATATGTTAGTTGAGGCTCCCCATACGAAGAGGCTGTGCTAATCATTTGTAGGGAGCCACTACATCACCAGATGAGTGATCTTGGAAATAATTTCAGACTTTGTAATGGCAGAAGAAGAGATATGACTGATGTAATTAGTCATGTGAAGTGACTGGGGCACAGCAAGAGGAGATGACAGGCTTTTCACCAGGTCTGTCAGGGTAAAAAGACTGAACTCCAGAAGCACCTCTGTTTCCCCACTTGCCACCTAAAAATCAAAATGACCTTTTTTTGAGGGGGGAAAGGCATTCTGAGATTACGTTTGCCTGTCTCCATGAAAGATAAAACATTGTAATTGTTTGGTATTACAGTATCTGGAAGCACTTCAGGGATCCTTGTGAGCATCCAGTGATTTGACCTTGGCTTTTTGTTTTGTCTGCGCTTTTCAAAATTTATGTAGATTGTTCATATTTTGTTGCAACTGTTTATATTTCTGAAAAGAGACATTTATATCAGAGGATTTGTACTACCCAAAATGAAAGCCCTAAAGGACTCTGTATGTGAATGTGACTGCTTCTGCCTTCTCTCGTCTACTGGCAGGGCTCTTGAGAAGGTGGGAAAATCTGGATGGGGAGGAGGGCCAAAACCTGATGTTAGCTTTATCCGAACTGAAAGGTGCTTTGAACCACAACGGTGTAACAAGGGAGCTCTGCAAAGCTGCCTTTCTTCCATTCTTGATGTTTTCTGAAAGAAATTTCATCTCCTCATTTTTTGAAAAAGAATAATCTTTGGCAATAGGATGCTTACTTTCTATTTCTATATTCATCTACGTAATGGAAAAGTTGTTGGTGTCCAACCCCCCAAGACAAACAAGCCTGCTGTCAGTGGCCAGAGCACTCTATTGTCCCTGCTGAGTGCACAGGGCAGAGGGTGGCTGTGACTTCCTTTTCCCTTTGGACTCTCTCCCCTGGGCTACCATTAGGCTGAAAAGCAGCCCAAGTATCCAAACAGTGCACGGCACCTAAGGGCAGGTTTGCTCCTTTGGTTTTATTTATGCATCTGGCCATCCATATATAAAATAAAGTCATCTTTTGTCACTGGCATGTACACACATATAAACAATACCTATACATCCAATTGTATATTTGGAGCTTATTAATCTTTTCTTGATGAAAACGCTCTGACCTCTTTTCTTTCCGGTCAGCCGTACCTGCCTGCCACCAACATTCCTACTAACAAGACAATCCTCAGGTATTTAGCAGCATAGGAGCAGTTATGTTTTGTTACCAGTCTTTTATTTTATGATACTAGTTGACAAATATAATCTTTAATTTTGTTGTGGATTTTTTTTTTTAATATTTATTGCAGTAATAGCCTGGTAAAATAATTTTGTATTCAGAAAAGCAATTAAGAAATTAAAAGTGAGGGCAGAACTAATAGAAAATTGCTGGGTTGTTTAGTCATGCAGCATTTTCCACAGTGTTCAATAATTTTTTATGCTTCAATTATTATGTGGGATGTGGATGCCTTAGTGTGCAGCTGCTGTTAAAGCATCAGTGATGCTCAGGGTGTGGGCATTCTTGCACTTTTGCAAGATATGAGATCCAAATCACAGAATCACAGAATCAAAGAACCATTTAGGTTGGAAAAGACCTCTGGGATCATTGAGTCCAACCTATGACCCAACACCACGATGTCAACTAGACTGTGGCGCTAAGTGCCACATCCAGTCTTTTCTTAAAAACCTCCAGGGACGGTGACTCCACCACCTCCCTGGGCAGCCCATTCCAATGCCCAGTCACCCTTTCTGTGAAGAACTTCTTCCTAATGTCCAACCTAAACCTCCCCTGGTGCAGCTTAAGACTGTGTCCTCTTATCCTATTGCTAGTTGCCTGGGAGAACAAAAAAAAAAAAAAAAAGTATCATACAACTTTGGAGAGCCCCAAGGAGTAAATATAATTATAAACCTGCTCATGGGTTCAGTAGGAAATTTTCCTTATCTACTTTAGCTCTGTGCAGCAGGACAAAGTTCTGTAATGTGACAGATGAGACCCCCAGCTTTCTATTAAGCTGACATGGTAACAAGTCCAACATTAATTCAGAGCTCAATTCTGCCTCCCTTCAATTCAATTCAGTGGGACCTGGATTGCTTGCTGCCTGGCACGTGGACTTTCAAAGGTCAGTGGGATTTAGAGAAGATGAGGATGTGGTAGTGACCTCCCATAATCTCAGGAAGGAGGGGGCATTGATCTACACCTCAAAATTTGTATCCACTCGTTGCAAAAAATCCTTTCTGTAGCAGAAGTGAAAAGTCACGTCAAGCACTAAGTTCAGCCACTTACACAAATCACACACAAGCAGAACTGGGACTTCTTCTGTCACTCTGCTCAAGGTGCTTCTGTGAAAATCTTTCATTTCTTCTTGGACATCTCTTCTGTTTACTCCAGTCTGTACAAACTTCTTGGAGACTCCAGGGCTTGCCTGAACACTCCCTTTTCCCTGCTGAGGTGAAGGCAGCAGGCAGGTATGTGGTGCACTAGCCCTGGTCTTGCCTGACTGCTCCCCAAGGCCCAAAACTCAAGTGTGGTGATTTTCTTTGAGTTCACCAAGCAGGTTTTGCAGCTGAACTACACTCACAAATGGCTTCCTTTATATCCCAGGACACTCTTTTAGCTAGAACACTTTAAAGCAAATCCATATATCTTGAATCCTAACAAGTTACAAGAGGAACTAAGTTTATCAGTTTACGTCAACCTATATGTAAGTATGAAGATAAAAAGAGAAATACATTGACATATAATACAATCTCAGAGGTACTTTCCATTTTTTTTCTTTCTCAAAGTGGGTTTGGGGGTACTTGGTATTCATTAATATTTGGTAGTTAACAAACTGCTATCAGGCTTCTGAAAAAAAAGTAGCAAAAGTGGTTAGACTTTGAGGTGGTTGGATTGGCTCTTTCAGATTGAATAATCGCATCTGATTATTGCTCTACTGATAATACTTTACTCTTTGAGGCTGCAAGTTTTGTCTTGGCAGTATCTGTATGCTACTGCCTGGCTGTCCCACTCAGTCTCTGAACTGCTCCCAGAGCAGCCTCACACAGTGTGAGCTTCCCTTGGCATCAGAACAACTCACCAGGAAGGTCAGGTGAGACTTTATGGCAAAATTTTGAAAAGCGTTGTCTAGATTCCAGGTTACCTGAAGAAAAAACAAACAAACAATATGAATTTTTTCTTTCTCAGTACGCCTACACGTAGTTTTACTAAAACAGCAAGTCCCACAACAAGGTATTTGTGCCATCCCTCTGCTTTGGCAATTTACCTATGGCAGAAGTAGAAGCAGTTCAGGGTCTGCATTGTCCCAGTGTAAAGACACCAAAATCTGGGTTGTGATATGGGCAAAGAAAAGGTGAAACCTTCATAAATGGGATTCATACATAGAGGAAAACATTTAAGTCCATGAAATGTCCTTAATATGTTTTTGTGTTTAGAGTAATTTAGAATCATGTATGTTGAAAAAGACCTTTCAGATCGCTGAGCCCATCTGTAAACTTACAGCCAAATCCACTGCTAAACCATGACCCTCAGTGCCACATCTACACATCTGTTAAACATCTCCAGGTGTGGTGACTCCACCACTTCCCTGGGCAGCTTGTTTCAGTGCTTGGCAACCCCTTCTGTGAAGAATTTTTCCCTAAATCCAATCTAAACCTCTCCTGGTGCAACTTGAGGCCATTTCCTCTCATCCTGACACTTGTCCTTTCAGGGAGTTGTAGAGAGCAATAAGGTCTCCCCTGAGCCTCCTCTTCTCCAGGCAGACCACCCCCATAACCCCATGTGGTTTTTACTCCATTTTTGTGTATTTTAGCATTTTCGGGGAGATGGGGATGGAGAGCAGTGCAGGACGAGCCGTGAGGGTGGTGGGACAGGGCTGTGGCAGCGCTTACTGAGAGATGGAACTTTATTTTTTCTTTTTTTTTTTTTCTTTTTACTTTGATCTCACAACACGATCCTCCTGGGCAGACATTCATGCACGGCTTCCAACCCCGCTTTTAGCAGAGGAGGAGCACCTCACCTCCCTTCCCAACCTGGCTTTGCCAATTACAAACATTTAAAGCCCCTTAAAAAACAAACAAACAAAAAAACCCACCAAACCCTCACAACCGGCTCAAGCAACGATCGGTCATGTTTAATTGAGTAGCGTTAATCACGGGGGCTGCGGGAAGATGGCGGCCCCTTTAAGGGGGCTGCCCCGCTTTCCGCCTCGCCCGCCCGCCCGCCTCTCTTTGGCTCCCCCGCCCCTGCCCGAGACACTATGAGTCGAAGCGGGCGCACGCGCAGAACGCCGGCCGGCTCGGCGCGCCTGCGCACTCACCTGCTGCTGGCCGCCCCCCCGCCCCCCCGGTACATCCGGGTCAGCGCACGCCCGCCCGCACGGCCGGTGCCCGCGGTGCTGCGCGGCCGCTCCCCCCCCTCCCCCGCTCCCCCCTCCCCGCGCGCGCTCCCGCCGCCCGCCCGCGCGCGCTCCCGGCGCGCCCCCGCCACCCGCGCGCGCGCCCGCCCCGTCCCGTCCCGACGCTACTCCGGCCGAGCGGGGGAGGCGGCGGATCCCGCTCCCGCTCCGCATCCCGATCCCGCTCCCAGTGTCCCGCTCCGGATCCCGCTCCCGGCTCGGTGAGTGCCCAAGGCGGGCGGGGCGCTCGCTGCCGCCTCTGCCGCCGCCGCATCCCCCGCGCGTTCCCACATCCCGCGACCCCCGCCCCGTCCCCGCGGGGCCCCCCCCATTCCCCGCCCGGCTCCGGCTGTTGCTCTCCCCGCTCCCCCACGGCCCCTCCGCAACTTCTCCCGTCCCGCGCCCCCTCCTCGCCCCGCGGCCGCCGCTCCCTGCCCGGGGCAACCACGCGGGTCGCCGGGGCCGGACCGCCCTCTCCGGGGCTTCCCCGGCGGCTCCTTGCCCCCGGTCCTGGGCACAGGATCCGGATTGCTCCCGGTGCGGCTCCCCCGGGATGCAGGTGGTGCCGCGGGATGCGGGGATGCGGTGACAGTGTTAACGGATAACGGGAGCGGCGGGAGGGGGAAACCTCTGGAGGGGGCGCCTGCAACCTCTCGGAGTGTGGCTGAAACATGCGGCGAGTTAAGCAGAATATACAGGAATCGTTGCGAATTTGCCGTGGTTAGGGTGTATCCTGCAGTGCTGTGATGCTGGGACTGTGATTCCAGGTGGGGTTAAGGTGAATTTGGAGTCTGTAGCAGAAGGGTGTTGTTTCTAATCTGCTCATTAAATAAGCGATAAAATCAAATTTTAATTGCATTATAATTTTCCCCCATGCAATTCAAGAATAAGGATGCATGCATCTTAATTTTCTTGTGTTACTTTTTAGTCTGGTGTCGTGTCTTGCGTGGCAATAAAATACGAGAAGTTTCTTCACAGAAACATTTCAGATACCAAAGAAATCAAGAGACTGTGTGTTATGAAGCTTTTTAAAGTGTTCTTTATTTCCTTTAGCTGTTCCATAGCATCAGCATCCTGGATCCAAATGTCAGCAAGTGTGACAGCTGTCATACTGCTGTGATTGTAGAGTCTCAGGAACATTTAAAATCTGTCACTCTGAGTTTCTGATAACATAGTATGGAGATATAAGTGTTGATTAGCGTGCATGTTAATCCTCAAACCAGTAAAACATTTTCTAGATTGATCTAATAATCTGTGTTCTTCCTTATTACTGTTTTTGATGCAAATAAAATTGCAAAGTCTGTTTTGCTCAAATTCTCTCCCCCCTCGCTGACACAGAGTTTTCTTTCTTTGTGCTCTGACTACTTGGACCTTAAATGCAGCTTTAAGCTAATGAGCATTTTCTACAGTAGGTTGTGGCAGATATGGGTGTTGGACAGGAGACATACAGTAATTAGCCTGAGGTTACTGTTGTCAAGGTTGGAACATGGATCCAAACTTAAAAGGTTCCACCTGACAAGTATCTTTGTTCAGCAAGGTGCATTGTTTTGCAGAATGTATCTTCACTTCTGTGTGGCAAGTTTTAGCAGCAAAACCCTAAACCCCATGAATAAGATATTGCTGTTCCATGAAGTTGGAGTGTTTCTTGCCTGGCAATACAGAGAGTGTGCCATTGTTGAAACAGAAGCTTTCAGTAGGAGAGCAGATATCTTTTTATCCCAGTCAGACTGTCAGATTTCTTACTGCATATATTGGCTGTCAGAGAGCAGGGGCTGTAGAAAGAAGTGATCCCAGAATCTGTTTTAAAATACCCCTGTCAAGATTTACCACGGTTGTATGAAAGTGAGGAATGAATTTGATCCCATCTGTTATACAACTTCCATTTGTCATCAGGTGCTCTAGATTTTCTTCCTTGTTTGCAGTTTAGCTGGGGCCACCTGAGGGGACAGATTATTGAAGAGATTGTCTTCTGAAAGTTTTTACCTCTTCCCTGTGAAACCTTCCCTGTGAGAACCTCGCCGGCTGTGGAACCCTGGTGTCAGCCAGTTCTGTTCTTGCATACAAAACTGCCCTGTCCCCTTATCTGAGCTTTGCGGGAGTCTTAATGTCTGGGTAAAGAGAAAAAAAAGAAACAATTTTTTGTTGTGTCTCTCAGTAGTTATATATTTTTGTGAAGTAATTGATTTTGAAATTAATTGAACACAATGGTTTAAGGGGGGGACCTTAAGGTGTTTGTCAGCAGACTTCTAATGGTGCTTACTAAACACTTGGAATTAGTACTGTAAAGAGACAGAAGGGTGGGGAATATTTGTATTGCAAACTACTGAATTATTGAGTAATACAGTAACAGAAATTGGCTCTGTCATTTGGAAAAGCATAAGTAGGGGCTGCTTTGGATTTCTGTAGCTGCTTTGGCATGGTAAACATAAATGAGGGTTTTTTTCCCCTTGCTGTGTATCTTGGAGAATACAGACACACAAATAGCCTGAAGTCCCCTTTTTTTCTGTGCCTGGCTGCCAGCTGGGGGCATAGATGGAACCAACGCATATCCTGTAGTGGAGGGCAAAATTAAAGCTTTTGTGCAAGGAGTTGGATTTGTTTCTTAAGCAGGTTTATGTGTGGCTGTTTTAGGGTTTTGGGGTTTTCTTTAGGAAATAATGGCACTAATATAAGTCAAGGTTATCACCTTTGCCTTTGTTCTTCATAAAGGCTTGTTCTCTTTAATTGTACGAAGAGTTTTTGTCATTGATGTAGATGGGCATAAGTTGAGAAGAATGCCTCCTGTTCTTTAAGGTAATGTTAACTACCCTGAAGTATATTATAAATCAATTTTATGAGACACACTCATCTTAAAAATGTTTGAAAATATATCTTCAAAGCTGAAATATTTTGAGTGTTGTCAAATTGCATCTCATGGATTATCAGCTGTCAAGCAAATGTGCTACAGGCAAGGCATGCAGCTTGTATGTGAATATATGTGCTGAATCCGCACAAGGCTTGAATGTCAGTGCCAACTCCTGTGCTTAGTACCAGGATGCAGAGAGTCATCCTGGTAGTCATTTTGGTCCAACTGAATCCCTCCAGTCTATCAACATGGCTTCAAGAGGGGGTGAGAGTGTGGGGACTGAGGATATGAAGGAAACTGTGCTTGGATTGGAAAGAGTTAAGGGCTGGGACTGTGAAGCATTGGCACCACGTTCTAGCTGTGGCACCTGAAATGCATACATCAATTAGGCAGGGTAAGAATTGTTTCGAACAGTTTTCCAGCTGCAAATGATGGCCACTTGTATGAACCATTTGACGTCTTTTCTAATCCCATTTGTTTCTGATTATCAAGAGCAATTCTAAATAAATTGATGGTCCTTTTGCATACCTCATAGGTTGTCCTTTATTATTAATCTGTGACCGTATAAACTTAGGAGTATTAGTATTTATTTTCTTCCTTGTGATTGTGGAAAATATAACACCTCTAACCAAATGTAGAGAAGTTTACATTTCTCTGCAAGTTTATGAAGAAAGGGGCTTATTTGATCACTTTTAATTTCAGGATCTCTTATAAAATCACCTCAGTTTCCCCCCATCTGTGATTCAGGAATGTTCTCTCGAGTGCCACAAGTTGGCTGCTGCAGCTGGCAGAGTGTTTCCAACTCTCTAAAATTTGCTGAGAGCAATAGGCTCTTATATAGGCGCTGTTTTACATTTGCAGTTCCAGTGCTTACTGGGGATATGTGTGTTGCAATTATATAAACAGCAGAGCTTGACAGAAACTAACAACAAACAATGAGCAGTTTTAGAATTGACTAGGTAGGTAACACTGAAAGTATTTTTAGTTACAGCACTTTCTCCTGTGTTCCCCATCCCCTGTGGTTTTAATTTCATTCTCCTTTTCAGAAATGGCATTTTGTCCTCTCCGTCACGTGAAGGTCTGATGCACAGAGAATACCTTCACTGTGGAAACAGTGAAACTAGTTACAGGCAAAGCATATTGAAAGGTGCAGGCAAAATGGTGCATTCTTTCGCCTTTGACTCATGATCATTTGAATTTCAGGGTACTTGTAAGACAGTCATAGTTGTGAGGTAAGGGCTGACACCGTCCCGCTCAGTGTGTGTATGTGGCTTATGAACTCAAATCTACTGTTACAACCGTTGTCATCTGGTTGTGCTACCCTCTTCTTTTACTGTTGCTACTGAATCAGGTGGTATTGATGAAATATTGAGTAATTTATTTTTGGTTAACTCTGAAAATGTTAATACTGGCCATTAAAGTGATTTGTAAAGAACTTTCGGTACCAGACTTATTATTTTTGAGTGTTCTTTAGTGTTACTTTTTCAGCACCTAGAAAAAGAATTTTTATGTTTCTAGTACCTAGACAAGTATTGACTAATTTGTGTGTCTTGGGAAAGACTGTTTGCCTTATTTGTACTAACCTAAAGTTCTAATCTGGCATTTGGAGAATGGTATATGGCTGATCAAATCCACCATTTTTCCCTATTACATGAAATTGTAGTGGAACAGTAGGAAAAACTGGGGACTAAATACCTCTGAAACATATAGATTGTACTTATGTACAATTTTTCAAGCATATAAAACTAATTTCCTCTAATAATGCTTGTATGGGAGGATATATTTTTATTCTTTTACTCCTGCTTAGGATGCTGTAAGTTTGTGGTCTTGATTACTCAAGTGTTTGACCTATTCTCTGGCTTGTATCTACAGCACTTGGGATTCCCAGGTGGTCCCTGTACAAGCAGTGTGATTGGTCTGGGACAGCTTAGCTTGTGAGATTGAGTGCATTCAGTTTGGTGTGGCTGTAGTTACAAAAATAGCGTGCCTTGCAAAACAGGCCTTCTGTCTGCCACCCACACCAAAACCTAAAGCTTGATCCTGTAGGCAGTTAATACGTTTGTCTGGGAGGCTGATTCCATCAGCAAATGCTTTACCTGAAATGGGTGTCCACCAGGCAAAAAAGAAATCTTGTATCGGTAATCACTTTATATGTAAGAAAGTGCAGCAGAACACTGTCCTAGATACATTTTTAAAAGCTCTTTTTACTTCAGACTACAGGGCTTAACTGTTCCCCGGTAGCAGGAGGCTGTTCTGTGAGCAAATTCTGTTTAACTGGCGTAGTTCAAAAGACTCTTAAATTCAGCCATGAGGCAATTCTGGTTCTCCTTCAGTACTAGATGATTAAATTAAATGGAGTGTTAACGTGAGTAACTT